TTTATTTATTTTGTATTATTACACGGAACACGACATTTCACATATAAAAGGATTATTATGATGGGCTTATACATATTTAAATGTATAGATCAGGTTATATTCCCGGTTTTGGTAATGTGGTGTTTCTATTTAAGCGATCGGTTTTCCGTTGGATGTTAGTAATTATACAGCAGCAAAAAGTAATCATATCGAACGGAATAAATATTCAACAGAACCGTATTTAGAATCGTCAAAAATAAAGATAACCTTCTGGAATCTTTTTCTTAACACAGAAGACTACAAACCGGTTCAGAAATCACTTTTAGATTTACTGATAGTTTTCAGTCTGTATTTATCTGTCTCTCAATATACTTATATGCCTGTGGCACATATAAAATTCATTTAATTGTTGCCTACTTTGTCAAAGCCGCAATGGAGGACACAATGATTTTTATGGTCAAAATTCAAAGAGACTTACTATGATATTTTCAAAATTACTATAAAAGAATACTTTGTAGTTCGATTATGATATTTTTTTCAGTAAAATAAAACATGAACAAGGAATCAAGGTTCTTTATCGACTTGACGACTGAATTTCTGTACTAAGTTTGCAGCTTTCCGGGTGGCCCACACAATAACACTAGTATAATACACTTGTACATGCTGTCCTCGACTTCCTATTTCATTTTAAGTGGAGATGCATCATATAAAATGAGTTGGTACTGCCTTTGTACTGATAGCGATAACCAATTATCTACTATATCCAGTGGTGACAATGGCGGCCGTGAAGACTAAAGATTATTAGGTAAACATTGTACAATCTACATACACACCAAGTTGAAGTAATTGTGGCTCAGAACAAATGTCCACTTCCTTGTTTAACTTTGCGATCTTATTATTGTAAAAATAACAAATAATAAAGTGGCTACTTAGCCCAAGGTTAGTCTGACCTTGTTCGCAGTAAGTCGACGTGTTACTTTTTGTGTAATAATTTAATTACGTCAATCTGTATACGCCTTAATAGTAAATAACCTACACGACATAACTAATAAATAATTATTTCAATGAAGGCTGCCTTCACTTTACATGAATATTGATTTTTCCTGAATCCCGAAAATAAACTTTATAATAAAACAATTTCATGAATAGTTATATTTAATAATACACTTTGTATTTCTTACGCACAAAACATACAGAAGCGCCTTTCCGTTTTCATTTTGATAGTAAAGTAATACAAAGCAAAGTGCCATATTTACGTACAAAAAGTTATTGATTCTTTTAAATTGACTTACTTTATATTTGCTTCATTATCCTAACTAATATCATAAATGCAATAGAAAGTTTGTTTCTTACTCTTTCTTACCATAACTCATCATCATCAGTTCTTTTCCCAAATAGTCGGTACAATGAGTTTTCACCTTTCATCTTACTCTATCCGTTTTGGTTTTTTCTTTTAAGGGCAGCCGCCTTCCCGACGCCAACCCTACTTGGGACAAATTATAATAATATATTATATATAATCTGTCTTTCTGTCTTCCCGTAATGGGCACAGAAAAAGACAGATTATCTTTAATCCAATTTACATTATGTTGTAAGTTCATGAAAAACCTTTAAGCGTGAGAAACCACGGGCACAAAACTATTCTTGTTCTATAACTACTATACTGTGCGTCTGTATATATTTGTAAAAGGTATATAAAACATATTATAAGTCATCTTAATAGTTAAAACAGAAGACGAAAGTATATTATTAAAGATAAGACTAAGGCAAACTAGAGAACTAGAGTTCAACATATGGGTGACTTTTAATTCAACTTTTAGGAAGAAAAGGCGTGTACTTAATAACATTAAAAAATGATCTTTATCAATTGCGCAGATCAACGTCAATGTGGACGTCACTATATTTAGAAAATGTGTAGTTAACTGCAGAGGTTTAAAATGTACTTACATTTTCCACTTTTTTAAGGAATAAACTTACGTTGTGTTATAAACTTGTTCGTAAGTAATCAACTATTTTTATTGATATTATTACACTGCAATACTACTACAAACAACAGATATGCATTTATGTATATACTAATAGATGATAAGTTACATGTATGTGACGGTCAACAAAAAAAAAAACAAATATCAATAGTCATTGAAACACAAATGTATGTCAAGTGTGCGAGTGGCGGAGCGCGTAGGGCCGCTCATTGCATCTGGTGTTGTACCGGGGGCGTCATTGTTAATACGACCAATCGACAAAACTTAATTGGCCCGACCTAGCTCGTATGAGCGTTGTAAAAACTGTGAAGGTCTGGCGGAGGTAAGGACTCGACAGAAAGAGGTCAAGTGTAATGCTTCGTGTTCCACTGACCTCATTTGGGAGCGAGCGCCGACACTGTTCAGCGCGCTCGCCGCCTTTCATATAAATATTATGTCCTAGTTTGCCACTGCTCTACAATTACTGTTCTTTGTTAACAATACGAAAACCAAGGATAAGTTTAATAATTGCCCTAACAAATCTAAGACACTTTGAGTATTGGTGTGATGAAAATTGGATTGTTGAAACCTTTTCTTAGAATTAATGTGACGAAAACAATGAATTACAATTTATTATAAATTACAAATTACTATAAATTACAATTATTATAAATTACAAAACATTACAAACAAATAAGCAATAAAAATAAGAATTTATTTACATATTTATAAATAAACTGGAGCCTTATTAAACAATAGTTTTCCTATTTCTTAATAAAAATTAAAAACACAGACTGTTCTACTAATATTTACAATTTGACCAAAAAAATGAAACCCTAAATGACAATGACTTAAATATAAAACTAACAGCAGCTAGTTACACAATTAGGACAAAGTAGCTAAATTAGAATTACAATGAATAATCCGGAAACATTGAGAAGAGCTGACCTCCTCTTGTCGAATGAAACCTTCAGCTGCTATTATTAACGTTATGACCGCGAAATCGGAGCACTGACACACATCCCGCCCGAATAATACCATATACTCCATAATTCATAGGAGCCTTGGCCCCAATGTTACGTGCGTATACATGGTTCATCCGAGCTGCCCGAGGCCTATATGAAAAAGCTACAATTATGTTTAAATATACATACCTCAATATGATTATTTCGGCTTGCGGCACAGGACAGGATAAAAGTTTCGTCAAGACTGCTCAACAATTGTGAATTATTCAAATTTGTGAGAAATGATAGTTATTGTAAATATTACTTGTAAATAGCCTACTCCTAAGGTTCTAACTGCATCCGAAATACCAGTATAGCTTATGCACTTATGAGAAAATACAGGTTAGTACATACCTAAAACTTGACGTAGATCAAGGTGAATATAAGCGAATGTATTCAATATTCTTATGTGACCTTTACCTATGGACATTCATTGTTTCTTTTTCTTAAAAATCCTTGTGAATAATGAAAGGTGTCCTTTAAAAGCGAACATTTGTACAAACAAGCTGAATTCGAAACTTATTTACAAGGCTTTAGTTATATTATTTACTGCATATTTTGTGATTGTCAAACAAATTACTTGTTTTTATTCTATTTAGAAACTACGTTTAGTCAATAATGGTAAGAGCAAATTAGAAAGGAAAAACTTGTTACATAGTATAAGCTCTATTTGTCCTAATTACTGACACAGGGATTTACTGGCAGTGCGGAGTTGCGGAGAGACGGCGAAACCGATCTACCACGTGTTGTGTTCATAAACGTAATACCATTAAATCAATGAGGTGTATATGGAGACAATCTTCTCATTTTAATTCTCATAATAATTAAAATATCAGTTTCCTTATTTATAAGAAAATGCAATTGGAACAAAAAAATAACTAGTACACTGTATAATTTTGTACGTAGACCTGAAATCAAACATGAAAACAATTGCGTAATATTTTGAATAAAGTGAATATATGTGTTTAATTACATTAATAGTAATTTTCGGTGTCCGATATTTAAAAAAATTCGCAGAGAGTGAGTCAGACCGATGACACGAATATGAGTACGTTTCGCATGCCACGTGCTTTAAAATTAAAGAAATAAAGTCAGAACCCAATTAAAGCTTACAAATTTTTATACCATCACAAGAAAAGTCAATTCCTTTCCTTACAATAAGTAAATAATACTTAGTATAACACAAATGTCTGTCAAGCTCAAGTCGTTCGAGGTTTTCAATGTAAAGTTTAAGCTATAATTTATTGCCTTAACCGGCAATAAGTAGTTTCTTTAATACAAACTCTAGAAATCTAACAGTATTTTTCGGTTTCACCTGATATATATTTTTTTGGTTTTAATGACACATTTTTACAAACATACATGAAACGAGCACAAAGAACACTCAGACCCAGGACAAAATTGTTGATCACACAAAGTCATTTCCCATGTGGGGATCGAACTCACAACACTTTAGCGTAGTAGGAAGAGACCGCTTAAAACACTACGTCATCCGTGCAGTCAGTTATGTATAAATAAAAATAATGTAGAAAATTCAAGAGAATTACGTGAGATAAAGTGTCCTGCATTAAATGTATATCAACTTTAATAGACGCGTAAATGATATATCCGCTTAGAAAATAAGGGTGGTTGAAATTTCATAAGAATTTCTGTATAGAACTTTAACAGTAATGGGTAAATCTACTTTTAAAAAGATTTTATTCAAAGCATTATTATTATAATATGTTGTAAACGTAATATCTACCTAGTAGTGTGTTAGTTTTATGTGTACGGGCACATGTTCCTTATTCTTAAATATCCAATTTTTTTAAACTTGTTTGTCCACCTTATTAGAATTGCCTAAAATCTGTTATAAATGCGTCTATAGTATTAGATTTATAAAATTAATGACAAAATATGTAAATGAAATACCTACATAAGCAGATAAGAGCATACAAATACGTATACATCTTGTATGAATGCATGTCAAATTTAAAGTACATTATAGATTTAATAACTGACCGATAAAAACCGATCGTCGTCTTTCAAGTAGGAGAGGTCGGATAATATTACTTCAAGGTCTGTTGACGGGCTGACCTCGGCGTATCGGTCGCGGAGGACAGACGGTCGCAAATATTTGCGCGCGTGAGAGGCACGAGAGGCAAGCGCGGGGAGTGCGGAGGGGCGTCGGGAGCCAGGTGACCTTGCCGCACGTCTGCCGCACGACCTTGATCTTGAGACGACCGCGGCAGCGCGGCCGCCCTCGCCCGCGAACTAACGACACTTCAACGACACCTATGGCTCCGGTTGCTAACTGTAACGTCATCACATACAGCCATTGCTGACTATGAACGAACATGTGGCCCGGTAAAATTACTTGTAGAAGTGACGTCAACCAAAAACAAGTTTTCCGAAATTGCGATGCAAGAGTTCATGGTCGTGGCTTTAGGTTTCAACAGATAACGAATTTTAACTTAGATTAATTGATGGTGATTAAGTATTTTACTGTCATGTACATGGCTTTTGATATTTATTTTTACATATAAATGTATCCTCGGCAACCCTCGTAAACCAAACCAAACCTATTCTAGTTTCAATGTTTCCATATACAATGGTATAAGTTACATGAATTGTCAAAATCAATTCATTTCTCCTCCTCAATTGTTTAAATTATTAAGTATTGGGATTAAATATAATGACCACAAAAAAAATATTGCAGCCCTAAGCTCTTGTCAAAATAAAATACAAAACATCAAAAAAACTAAACATGTGCTAACAAAGATAGTCTAAAATTACAATAGTTCTAGGTGTTTTAGTTATGTTTTAAGAACAGGATTATTAGAAATTGTATGTTTTATTTTTTAACCATTACATAGAAATTAACTTAAATAACACAATGTCGCTACTTGCGAGTCATTTATTTTAGTAGGATAGCAAAATGTAACATTTTAAAGACAACTCCGCACTAGGAATATATCCTGCGCGGGACTTTATAAACATACATGAAACGGACACAAAGAACACCCAGACTCAGAACGACAATTTGTGGATCGCACAAAGTGCCGTCCTATGTAGGGATCGAACCCACAACACTCAGCGTAGTAGGAAGCGGCGTGGCGACCGTTTAAACCACTACGCCATCCGTGCATAGTGGTATTATCAGTAACACCAAGATTGTTTGTTTGATTGTTTATGTGGAACTGAATTTTGAAATTCAAGCAAGTGTCGACGAATGTTGGTATACGGTAAATTTGCTTCTCGGTACCGGTGAATTGCCACCAGCTGTCATCCGCGATACCAGAGTTTCTATGTTGTATAAGTAAAGGCATCGTTTAACCATTTTTAAAGCACTAAAAACGGCTATACTGACATCCAAATTACCTACAAACTGTAACATCACTTTACATCACAGTCACACATGCATGGTAATATTTAATAACTACTATATTTAATCACTACTATATTTAAAATTATAACTACTTAAATAAAAGTTAAACAAATTCTACATTCCTTCCACCTTTACAAATAAAAGACTACTTTCTTACATTTTAAAACACATTAAACACAGTGAATTAAAGTCACAGCATAAACAAACAGATATTACAATGCTTTACAAAATTATAATGGAAATACCGAATCCGAATTGATATCATTTTTACTGTCATTCTTGGGTTGTATATTTTGTTGATTCCAGCATCCATTTAGCCAAAATGCAATGCATAACTTAAGTGTCTGTCAACTACTGCTCCCTGAAGATGGTGCTTTGAACTCACTGTCAGTACCTAGTACATCTTTATCGATTTCTTTAAAATCGATATTCTGCTGCTTCATAGCATTCTTCACACAATCCTGATAAACTTTAAATATTCCAGCGCACATAGAATCATCGTTGTCACCTTTTAAAAATCGTTCTGAAAACCAGCTATTGAAGCAATCATCATATTTCTTTTTTAATTCTGTACATTCTTCTCCAATGCTATTCATATTATGAAATCAACAAGTGCATAGACTTCCACAATGAATGTTATTAGATTTAATTAAAGACAATTTAAGGTATGTTTACAACTATTCACTTTTGCCGTAGCATGAATATTGAATAAGCATAAGTTCATGGTAATACTTTGTATCTATACGCCTCTATTAAGTTTTCATAAGTTGTAACATTTTTTTACAGGTACTTGCATTGTTTCAATTTAGCATTATATTGTTACAGGTTAAACCTCTCCTGTATCCATACTTTATAGTGGCATCGGACAGTATAACTTTAGTCTTACTTTAGTTACAATATTAGCTTACTCACCCACAACCTACATTTTAAAGTTTAAATTATATAATCTAGTAATGCGCTAGCAACTTACATACAAGAGCTATTACTCACTACCTACTACCCCTTTTAAATGTATTTTTTTGCAAAGAGAACTACTCCAAGAAGAGTAGTAAGTAGCGAATATACAGTCATCATCATCAATAGCCTTTAATGCTCCACTGGTGGACATAGGCCTCTCCTTAGAAAGGAGGTTTTGGCCTACTATACTATTTTGCCAGACGGGTTGGTATAGGGTTTGTTTCAAATGTTCCTTCTCTTTGCAATGCTGTTATCCTGCGGAGTTGCTTCTTTGGGCGGCTCTAACACACTTACGCTCTTACACTCCGTATTCTTAATCTGTTACTACACGGACAATACAGTAGTAGTGAGTATATATATTATATTTCTTGATTTTTATATTTAGAGTTTAAGTACATAATAATACCCTTCCCCCCGGATCTCAGTGCAGTACAGACGTGTTTTAGTTACAACTTACATAAATATATATTTTTTAAAGAAATTAATTCTATTTAAATAAATTTGCACAATAAAATCATAGTTCTACAAGGACCCCATAACAACTGCAGAGTTCAGAAATCACCAATCACCACTGCGACCTACGCAAACATCCAAAACAGCGTCCTCACACTACCAAGTAAGATTGTTATCGTTGATATGTGTAGGTATCCGTGAAAAAGACGAGGCAGTAAACAACCAAGTGATCTATGTAATGTCAGTGTAAATAAAAGACAAAATATTTATACTTATACTTCAACTTCAACCAACCTGCGCATAGGTCAACTTAGAGTGGCCGCTTCAAGCTTGGTCCGAAGCTGGTGGACACTGCCTCCGCCCTAGGGCGACTTTTGCTCAATTTGGGCGGGCCCAGTGTTCCCACGAGGCGGCTGTATGCGGGGGTTGTCCGGTCCATGGCGTTGTATGGTGCACCGGTGTGGGTGGCGGCTCTGACCGCCCCGAATAGGGCGCGCCTCTGGCGCCCACAGAGGATATTGGCGGTCAGAGCCATACGCGGATACCGCACGGTGTCCACCGAGGCGGCTTGCGCCTTGGCCGGAACACCCCCGTGGGATTTGGAGGCGGAAGTGCTCGCCGAAGTTTATCGGCGAGTGGCTGACTTCCGGGCGGAGAGCGGATTTCGCCCTCCGCCCGAAGACGTGCGCGAGTGGCGCGAAGCCGCTCGCCGAGCCACCATGGTCAGATGGTCGCTCCGTCTGGAGACTCCACGCGCTGGCTTCGCCGCCGTGGAGGCTCTCCAGCCGGTCATCGCTGAGTGGGCAGGGCGGCAGCACGGGACCCTTTCCTTCCGGCTGACGCAGGTGCTTTCCGGGCACGGTTGCTTCGGAAAGTACCTGTACTCGGTCGCTAGGAGGGAATCGAGTCCCGCCTGCCACCACTGCACCTGCAGTGAGGATTCGGCCCAGCACACGCTGGCGGTTTGCCCCGCATGGGCGACGCAGCGCCGGGCCCTCACTGCAGTCATCGGAGCAGATCTCTCGCTACCGGCCGTAATTCGCTCCATGGCCGGTAGCGACAGTTGTTTTACCGCGGTCGCAACCTTCTGCGAGGAGGTAATCTCGCAGAAGGAGGCGGCGGAGAAGGCCCGGGAGGACGACCTCCACTCGGACCTGATCCGCCGCCGGCGAACCGGGCGGCGGAGGCGCGCTTACCTGCGCCTCATGCCGCCCTGAGTGTGGCCGCGGGTGGACGGGATGGGTTCTCCCCTCCACCCGCATTAGTTGGCCAGCCGCGAGGGGGCGGCGTCCGAGTGTGCCGGACGTCGCCTAAAGAGAGGGTCCACTGAGACGGAGCCCGCATCAGGAGCGGGCCGGCGCTGGGAGGGGTCCAGAAGGCGATAACTACCTGGACCCCTCCTAAACTGGAAGCGCAAAGAGGGCACACCGTGTGGTTTAGTCGGTTCGAGTCCGACACACCGCCCCGCCGAACGAGAGCCCCGGCGGGGTGACGGTCCGGGGTGAAGAGTGGCCGCTTCAAAATTTGTATGAAATCGTCGATCGACGACCAGAACGTTGACCCCTGCATGTAACACTAACTAATATTACCTCTTTCGAGTTACTGATACATTTTTCCGCTCGGACTTATTATACGTCACTATGCCGCTACGTCACTCGCCGCAACAACAGTCCGTTACTGGCACTAGTGATCCAACGTTTAGTTTTGCACAGAAAATTTACGACTCAGATACTCCCTCGGAACGAAGTGGTAGAAGTAACAGTAATTTGCGTACCAAGAGAAGACGTGAACAGGATGACGAAATTTAAGATTTAAAAACTGAAATGCGAGAACCATTTTCTAAATTGTCAGCAAAACGTTGAATTGCAAGATAGTCTACAATTTATATCGGATAAGTACGATGACATTCTCGTTAAGGTCCGACAGCTTGAGGAGGGGAGGATAGAAGATAAACACAAAATACAATTTCTAGAAGATAAAATTGAGTATTATGAACGTAAGTTGAAGTCGACAGGTCTAGAAATCCGTAACCTACCAAAAATCTCAAATAATATTACAACACCAGAACCTAAACAAGACATGTGTGTCCTAGTGAAATCTTTAGCCGAATCTGTTGGAGTAACCCTGCAAGACGACCAAATTAGGGACACATATAGAATCAACTCGAGCAAAGAACAAACTAAACCTCTCATAGTAGAATTTAATAGCATTTTGGTGAAGGAAAACATCTTGAGAGCGGTTAAATTTTTCAATAGCGATAAGCCAAAGGGAGAAAAATTAAGTACAACTCATCTTAATGTCACAGGACCACCCAGACCAGTGTACGTCTCGGAAACTTTAACCGCCAAAACACAAAAGTTGTTCCACGCGGCTCGAGAATTATCTAGAGAGAATGGGTATGCATTTTGCTGGACCTCAAAAGGAATAATTTATATGCGGAAAACTTTGGGCCTACCCCAAATACGTATTAATGCTGAAGCAGACTTACAAAAAATCAAAAACAGTGTTTGACTAGTATTAATATTCTGTATAATTTTTTGCATGTTTTATGGTTTCTTTTT